GGAGAGAGAAGCAAATACTTTGTTGTAACTTTGACCTTGATTTATGATCTTGACCTTGAAGCTGGGATAAAGAAAGGTGTATACGACACTCCATCTGATGATGCATATGTGTGCAAAGTTAAATTAGAAAACAAGAAGTGCAGTTCTACTCAAAAATTTTAATGTTGTAAATTTCTCTCTGTTAGGAAAATATTTCATGAACAAATGGACCGGTTTTAATGAAACTTGGTATTTATTGGATGCACAATCAGATTTTTTTCTACTTTCTTGTTGTTGTTTTTTTCTGTATCAGGCAACTTGTTGTTTCTTGCCCTGGTCAGTCATTTTGGGGCTCGGCTCCATCGGCCCAAACTCATCGCAGCCGGATGTTTGGTCATGGCCGCCGGGGCTCTTCTCACTGGCTCCACACATTTTTTCATGGGACGGTAAACGCCTACAGAAGTCCCCACAATGCTAAAATACCCAAATGCTTCTTTTTTTTTTCTGATTTCTTGAGTTTTTGTTTCACAGATATAAGTACGACACCATTCTTCAGAATAACGGCGTGAATGTTTCTGCGTGCGTGGACCCTCTGGAAACAGCCGAAGCGCCAGACGTTCAGATAGAGACGCCTGCTTTCAACAACCAAAGTCTCTGATCCACTACTTTAATCCATTCTTAGCCTTTTGCTAATGTTAGCGTTTAAGCTAATGTTTTGTTGTTTATCAGCCTGTGTGACAGAGTCCGGGTCCAACATGTGGATCTACATTTTCCTGGGGAACGCTCTGCGGGGGATCGGAGAAACTCCGGTCACTCCCCTGGGCGTCTCGTACATCGATGACTTTGCTAAAGCTGAAAACTCCCCGTTCTACATCGGTGAGGTGCTAACACTGAATTTCAGCTGGTGTTTTCTTTGTTTTTTAACTTTCAGCCCAGCTGCTCTCTAAGTCTGAATCCTCTAATTGTTTTGGCAGCTTGTCTCCAGACCGTCACCCTCCTGGGCCCCATGTTTGGTTTCCTCCTGGGCTCTTATTGTGCCAAACTTTATGTGGACATTGGCTATGTCGATATGGGTAAGTGTGCCGAACGTTTGGTTCAGTGTTGGAGTGTAGTTTGAACGCTTCACTCTAAAACTTTACACAAATCCATCATAAGTGATAATTTGTATTCCTGCGCTCTTGTTTTGAAGGGCTTCGGTCTTCCTTTCTGCTCTAAAACCACTTTTTACTTGGAACAGATTTTGATTGCATGACATCCTTTAGTGACTTTTTTTTAATTCAGCACACGTCCTTTGAACAGTTGTGCTCTTCTTTAAGAAGTGAAATGGGTGTGTCAGTTTTGGCAGGAATCTGTCAGTTTTTGACAGAGGGGACATGGGGGGACTCCATCTGGAGCCTCATTTAGAGCAACCCTGCTGCTCGTGGAGCAGAGGGTCGGACACGCTGGTATAAGAACAGCAGCACACCTGTCAGAGGGGGGTCACTGAGGACCCTGATTCCTGATGATCTGCAGAGAAACAGTCCTGTCTCTGTTTTATTTTTTCATATTTTTAAATCAATTATTTATTTCTAACAAAAAAGCAAATAACTGTGCTGGATTTGGCTGTTTATGTTTAGTCTGAGGGCAACATAAATAAATAAAAACTTAAGTTAAATTAAAAAAGATGGAGAAATTTTATTTTATGTGAAAACATAAATGCTGAGTGTTGTATTGCTTTCATGACGTTATCTGAAAAATTAATTGTTGAACACAAAGAACAGAAGCTAAAATCCCCTTGGTGATTGCAGCGTTCTCTCACCACCATGATGGACAGTTGTCACCAGGTGTTTGTGCTGGTTTGGTTTTCTGCAGACATGGAGCTGTGAATTATGGGTGAAAGCCTCTACTTTGGTCTCATCTGTCCAAAAGACATTGTTCCAGAAGTCTTGTGCTTCATTCAGATGAAACTGTATTTAGTATTGCACAGTCTGACCTTGTGGTGAATTTGTTGGGATCTTCCCTACTGGGAAAATTGGCTTTCTTTTTGTAGAATGATGGACTCCAAATACTTTGAAAATGACCTTTGTCGTAGGAGGAAATCTTTGGACGGATGGATGGATGGATGTACCATATGAATGGATGGATGAATAAATAGATGGATGGATGGATGGATGGATGGATGGATGGATGGATGGATGGATGGATGGATGGATGAATGGATGAATAGATGGATGAATGATGGCTGGATTGATGATGAAGGATGGATGATTGGATGAATGGATGGATGGGTGAATGGTGGCTGGCTTGATGATGGAGGATGGATGATTGGATGAATGGAT